ATGAAACGTATTAATTTCGTTAACACCTCTTCTGTATAGTCTCGTCGACTATACCACAGTCAAATATCACAATATGCGTGTGGACTATCTCTAATAAGAGTATATCAGAACATTTTTTAGGAATTCATATAGTACTCTATATCCCTCTGAAACTCTATTTTAATGTATATTATACATTTACACATGTAAAAGGTAAACCATGATCCTCTATCATTTATATTGACTCAGATTACAAGAGAAAAATATACACTTAATAAAAAAGATCAGCTGTCGATAAATATAGAATGTTTTCTTATGATTCATAATAAAATACAAACAGCTGACAGCACTTATACTCTTCTAATTTATACTTTTCTCATATGATATTCTTTTGCAATAGGTATGGAGTTTTCCTCAGTCCATTGTATGCATTTGTTAAGTGTATTTATTTCCACGTCATTTATGATTTTAGGTGCAATTACACTGACCTCAGTTTCCGAGTCTGAATCGATGTTAAGTTGTTCAGCAAGAGAAACATTTTCCATAGAAAAGTCGATGATCAACTCATCCATTTCTTGTTGAGATGCAACGATATATTGTCGTCATCAGCCCACTATACATTATTTAACTTTAAGGTTTGAAAAGCTTTTTGAATAACTTGTGATGGAACGTTTTTTCATGCATTAGCTAAATGACAAATAGCATGACGTAAATAAAATGATTTTATTTTTTTTCTAAGTCGCTGTTATCGTCTGCAATAATATGCTGCAACCAACTTTCCGTAAAGAATAACTTTATCCACTTGATAATATTTTGGTCCATGGGTAGCAGGGTGACTGTACAATTGGCCAGTGAAGGTAGTGCATAAATCATTCCATATCCATTTTTTAACTCTGAAGGATGACAGGGAACGTTGTCTAAAAGTAAGATAGCTTTCTTTTGACTCAAGAAACTGCTGAACCTATAAAAAACAATAAAATTTTAGCTATACTTATGGGAGCTGAACATTGATTCAGTAAACCCGCACATGTATTACTTAATATCTATTAAGTACAACTCAGCAATAGTAATAAACTAACAAATAGCTACGATTGTACTACTAATATCCAATAAAATATGTTTCATTGGTTGATTTTATTGGTTTCAAGTACAAACGTCGGGAACAAAGTTAAAATGAAACTATTGTTAGAATAAATTGAATGTCATCCATCCATTTTTATCCCCTTTATAGAAAAATTTATTGTTTATTGTTATTGTTTATTGGTAAAATTATTAAAACACCTTGGATTTGTTGCTTTTCCAATTATAAAAATGATTAATTTCTAGTCTCCCGAAGCGTTTGGATACGAAAGAGAAGTAAATCTGTCCTTGCTTATTTTTCGACCTAGTGCATAAAACTCCCTTAATAGATTCATCCGCATTGTATATTTATTGTGATTCCAAATCCAGGTCTTTTATTTCTTTTTTAGTTTTTAGTTAGTTATTTTATTTTATCACACTTTAACTAATCGAATTCCATACAGTTTTTTAAAATTTGAATACCATCACTTACTCCCGTTAAAGGTGATGCTCGGCTTTTCACTAATTTTTTCATGTAATCCACGTACCTTTACTTTCAATATATCAATAGAAATTGGGACATGTTGCTGCCTTTGCTTCGTAAACCATCTATACAATGCTTTTTCCATTTCGGGATATTCAGTCTCCCTCAAAATTTTATATGTTGTTGGGCCAAATTCACTGATTGATTAATATTATTAATATATTAACACTACAACGTAGAGTACGACACTACAAATTCTTCACTTTACTTAAAGCGCGTTGCATACTATTATTTTTGAGTGTCAATTAAGAGAGAAAAATCCATGAATGACACTCAAAAATGATTGTACCTTTATAGGTGCGAAACACACTTACAGCGTGCACAAACACCCTTATTCTTCAAAAATTTTTCTTGAATGTGAGCATGTTCAAGTTCGGTCGTTAGAATACATTTGACCAAGACAGAGCGTAATTTGAATGACATTCAAAAATGTTAGTCTGCACCACGCTTAAAGGGCCCTTTATGCCAATACAAGCGAAATAACGATTACTTGTGATATGGGAATGGGTTATAATGGCATTGGCAGATGGATATATAAAATGTCGTTAAGTACATCTGTGTGAATTTTAAAAATACTTTGACAGACGACGTTAATAGTCATTGAGAATAAGCGTAAGGTAATCAAATGTTTTTTGCTTTTAATTTTTAATTTTGCAAAGTAAACAAAAATTTTTATTGTCCTAAAATCAAGCAGCAAGTGTGTTGCTTTAATTTACATTTCGTTAAATTAATTGTGGTAAGAGGCTGAATTAAGAAACGTAAACCTTAGAACGCAAAAATATTATTAGTTATGACAGAGTACACACAATTGAAAACAATATGAAATAACAAGGAACGCAAATTTAACATTGAAGCCAGACAATTGGTTATCACTAACCAACCCGGCATTTCGTCTTAATAGGAAACAGCTGCTTAAGAGTACATCGCTTTTTATAAGATAGAACGGACAGGTGATTGTTTACAGCACAACTAATTCAGCCTTAAATTTAATCAGTTGAGCAATTCAAATGGCAATTTAATACTCTTCTCCCTAACCGATAATTTATTACTTCAATATCAATTCAAGGATCGTTATATAACAAATGTATATGTAACATCTTTATCTTTAGGTTTAACGCTCTCTAATCGTATTAAAATTGAAGTTCAAATACAAAATAAAAAATATAAAAGTCCATTCAGGAACAATTTTAACGATATATTCAAAACTAGACGCAGATGAGAGTTTCAGTGAATGACCAATTATTTGAGATTCATTTACAAGAGAAAGCAAATCGTTTTCAAATTATATGGTCGGACGACAATAGTTATCGTTATGTCGCTGCTTCCATTGCTGATGCGTTCGTTAGATATTCTTGTCTTGTTCCAGTGTCCAAGTTCTTCAGATGACGTTCGCAAATAGTTCCAAATACTTTTATTAACCCGTCAAACCCGCTCATTAAAATACTATCTGCACCAACGTTATAGCCCAAATATGAAATTTATTTCTCTAGAAATTCATATCTATCAATGCATAACGTAAAACCAATCTCTTTAAATATTTTTAAAAATCTATCTTGACTTTCTATGCATTCGTCTGCGGACTTGCTTCGAGTTATTACGTCATCCTCAACTGAATACTTGCTATTACCTCAACTGAATACATTTTCTCCACAATTCCATTCATTAAGATTCGGAACACGGCAGGTGCATTAACAAAACCAAATGCAATACGGTAGTATTTATAATAAACATCATTTGTAACAATGGTAATAAACTTTTTGACTGCTCCTCCATATTTATCTGATGATATCCCATACGTAGATCAAGTATCATCAAATATCAATTTCCAACCAAACTTCCAAATTATTAAAGAATTGCTGCCATACAGTATAATATCGTCACTGTTATCTTACCCAATTGTCGGCCATCTTCACATAATCTGTGTTCTTCCTTTTTTCTCTGCACTAATATAATTTCTCCTTCATATGGTGGGCTAGATATGGTATTACCTTATTAGATAATTTTATTCGATATAGTTGGACGCTTTGCGAATACAATTCTATATGGTTTCATACAAATTGACTTAGACTTGCTGACTTGAATCTCACTCTTGGTTAGATGATATTTTCCTAATTCATTTGTGTTCTGAGCAAAACATACCCTTCATTTATCAACAAGTTGCTTCCATTTATCATCGAAAGTGGTTCGGTTGCAGTTTCTTTTTTACATTATATATCCAACACTTATTTTGATCCATAATTATATGCAAACCCCCTTGACATAAATAGTCGTTTTCAACAAGAACGTTACAGTAGATTAAAGAACATAATTCAATTTTTTTGTTACTAAACTATAATCAAGAGCTCGATAAATAAATGATTCAAATGTTACGTTATTTATATTGACAGCTCTACTATAAATAGTTTCTCTATCTTGGGTAAACTCTCACGGGTAATTTTATTTTTATTTACGTTTTGTTTTGATCCGATTTCTTCTGTTTTATAGTTTCTACATTTTCACTTGGCACAGCGATCTTTTATTTGTGGTTCTAAACATTTGGAAGAATAATGTCAATTTTTGAGCAATTAAAACATTAAAATTTGGGTATTGAAACGTTCGAGTGTTTCGTAGTATCATTGGAATTTCTGTCGAAGACGTTTTTCTTGGAATACTTAGCATGATTAGTGCTAATGTTTTAATACCGTTGTACTAACGCTTACTATTGATATCATGAAGTAACCGACTGCAAGCTATATATTCATTGGATATTTTTCTTTTGAGTTTAGTTCATTCGTCCCATTTACAATATGACTAGCGATTGCTGGCACTGTAAGATTATCTTTTTTACCAAAAGCATTTGTTTTATAATAACATAGTGCTCCAAACGTATATTGTTTGGACGTCGTGCCATTGCAGCCATTTTAATATGCACATTAGCAACTTTCTCTGAACCAAATAAAATAGATATAATAAATGTCAATAACCTTGATTGGTCATCCCATTTGTAAACTAACTTCAGGACTTCTACTCGTCTTACGAATTGTATTGATTTCACTGATTCGACTGATGTTGGACTAAACACTGATAATAACGTGATGACATCTGATTTCTGATAATATCTGTACGCATTGTTGTAATTCGGTTGTTGAACTATTAGCAAAGAAGAAAACGCTGCTGATATTTCGTTTAAGCCACTAGCCGATACACTTCATACTTTGGGAATTTGACTTGTTTATACTTTTTTCTTTACTGACCGAGGTGTGGAGCCAGTATACAACTACTGACCTAGACAAAGAAAATAGTGTTGTTGTATAGGTCAGCAAGTGTCCGTTTTTTATAAGATCTTCTCTGGTTATTAACAAAATAATGACAAAGTTTTTAGTATTAAAAAAATGAAATTATAATAAAAATATTCTGGGTTTGTCATTAGTTTCTTGTCTGTTTCCTTAGATTTCATTCAAACCAAACTTTTTTAAATAACACCGCAAAATGGCATGGCTGTGGTTAATTCTAGTGGTTGCAGTGTTGCCATTTCAACTCACTTACAGTTTTAAAAGAAACTATGAAGCAAAATACATTAACTCCAACATTCCAGAATGGAAGCAAAGAGTAAGCACAAAATATATTAATATATGCCTCATAATAAATACAATTTTAGTTCAAATATAACTAAATTTCTTTAATAAATAAAAAATTTGAAAAACTAAAATATTTTAAACCTTAATTTCAATATTTTATTTTTCCTCAGAAAAAGCAAATAATCACATAACGTTAGGAATAAGATTGCTAAAATACTTGACCTTTTTCCTATCATTTTTTAGGCGTGTGAAAAGCCGCATAAGGACAAAGCAAGCACACATTATTTTTGCGACACTAAGGGTGATGTCAAATGTTTACCAGGTTGGCAAGGCGACTTGTGTCAGGTGCCCATGTGTCGGAGGGGGTGCGACCCCATGAATGGTGAGCATATCAATCCATACGATATACATTTTTAAAAAACAAGTATCTAAACGAAGAATGGTAAGTCTATTTAGTTTTCTTTATTTGCTTTTGCAATATATAGGTTATTGCCAAAAACCTGGAGAATGTCGCTGCCGGATAGGTTATACCGGAGAATTGTGCAACAAATGTATACCGCTTCCTGGTTGTCAACATGGTTATTGCAATAAACCTTTTGAATGTATATGTAATACTGGATGGGACGGTCTATTTTGCACTGAACGTAAGTTAAACATTTTTTTAAGTTATAATTGAATTTATATATCTACTGTCACTATATATTCTACATTAAGGTTTCTGCGTATATTTTGTTAGGGCAATCAAATACTACTCCGACTTATGTTAATTTTTAAAAATGGATTACAAAAGTATATGTCGACATTTAAACATGGTCCACCTGTAAGAATTTATTTTTTCGAACAATCAGTTGTTGATTATTAATAGGTAATGTCTGGTCGACAAAGGTTCACATCAATGACATTTTTATTTTTCTTAATCAAACTTAGTATTACATACTAATATGTTACATGTGTTACTAACTCATTACGAAGCTCTTTCTCAATAAATAACACTACCCTCATCCAAATAAGTTACATTTATGAGACCAAATATTGGAATAACAGAGTTAATGAGGGTTAATAAGAGGGTTAAGCTTTAGCTTAAAAGCTTATAGCAATTTTTAGACAAAAGTTTAGTCTTTAAGGTTATATCGACATTCTTAACATTTAAAGTTTATTTGTAAATTATAAGTTATAATAAACAAATCTTTTTGAATAGCCAAGAAATTTTCTACAATATTCACATACAATCTGCAATATAATTTCCTTTTCATCTTTGGGGAGTTTCGTATTTGAGGGGTTTATCATAACGAAATCCCATTTTCGAAAAGTGAAAAACCATCCTAATGTTCATTCTTACTAGGTAATGAAGTAGTTATCGAATAATAAATATACTATGATTTTGATTATAAAATCTCTAATAATTTTATCCAACTCATTAAAAACATTAATTTTATAAACATATTTTTATATTTCGATTGCTAAAAAATAATTTTAAGTATAAGTCAACACGGTAAATATTAGGTAACATCCTCATTCAGTGTTTCACAAAAAAAGTTCGCTAAAATGCATTTAATAAACTTTTTGATATTCAACTAGAGATATTTTATTTATTTATGTATGCAAGGCAGCTACTTGCCGACAAGGTTGTCATAGCACACGGGGTTATTGTGAGGTACCAGGTGAATGTCGCTGTCGTATAGGTTGGGCTGGACGCAATTGCAGCGACTGTTCTGTGCTGCCTGGTTGTCGGTTTGGCACATGTAGTAAGCCGCTGGAATGCAAATGTCTGCCGGGTTACACTGGGCTATTGTGCTCAACCGGTAAGCTCAAACAACGCAATCATAATTTTTACTGCAGTCAGAACCTTTTTTCACTTCAGCACTTTGTGCGGATAATTGCAATAAAAGGCATGGCTACTGCCTCAATCCAGGAGAATGCCGGTGAGTATTAATTTTTTTAAATTTATTATATGAATAAAGAAGCAAGAAAAAAGTGTAAACTGACTTTTTATTCTACAGTTGCAGGGTCGGTTGGACTGGTAAAAATTGTGATAAATGTTATCCATATCCTGGCTGTGTCAATGGTGACTGCGACAAGCCATGGGAATGCAATTGTAAGACTGGTTGGGGAGGTATGCTCTGCGATGAAAGTAAGTTTGAAAAAAATAAATTTTTGTAAAGAAAATCACTTTCAACTGTGAATAAAATTCTTATGTAAATTAACGCAAATTACTTATATGAGAAAATGTTTTTGAAGTTAAAGTACTAAGACAAATTTCAAGAAACACAATGTATTTCTACACTACATTAGTTAACAAAACAGAACTTTTTTACAACCAGTGCAAAAATTCAAATTGTAAAAAACCGCCGTATAATTTTATAACAAAATATGTGTGTGTTGAATATACTTGTACCAAATATTAATATTTTAAATTCATATAGAAAAATTAAAGCAAACATTTTTTATTTTCATTTAAAACAAAATATCTTTAAATATCTGATATGGAATATATTTTTCTAAATTCTTAGAACTAACCTTCTGTAAAGATAATCCAAACATTTGCAAAAATGGCGGAAGATGTATTTCGACAACACATCATGATGGCAGCTTTCAATGTCACTGCAAACACGGTTATTTGGGTAAAAATTGCGAAATTACGGATGAATTTCTATTAACGTCGACAGCAGAACCGAGAATTACTCCTCCGACATTACCAATTCAATTAGATGAGTCAGAGGAAGTAATGGCACAAAGTATATTTTTACTTCCCGCAGGTGTAACTTCAAGGCCAACAACAACAACGACCACAGCAACTGTAATAAGTGCCAACATTAATGAAAAACTGTCAAAGACTGCGCCGACTAGAACAGCATTAATTAATACATTATCTATAACGACAACTGAATCCAAAGAATTATTAAATAAAACCACACACGCACTAGGCAATGAAACGCAAAATATGAATATTCATAAACATATTTTGGTAGATAGCGCGTCAGAGAAGCAGCATGTATTTTCACAGAATTCCACAATCACCGAATCCATCACAACTGTCTGGCCTCAATCGAGTGTTAATTCAACAATTATACAAACCGCCGTAAATGAAAATTTTGATGTCTCAAACAATAATTTGATGCAAAACCAATCGATAGACAGACTAAACTCAGCACCTACTATAAAAGCTCCCACAACAACCATACAATTATTACATACAAAGGTAGTTGCATTTTCAAAGTATAATGTTGCACGCTTATATTCAACTATGTTATAATATAAGGCGAAATTGTTAACAACTTTTAAAATTTTTACATGTTTTCTACATCTATTTTTGAATTGTATCCTAGAAATAATTATTAAAATCAGAATGATGTCTAACTAAGGGGCTCCCACTAACATCTTTTTATACCCTTTACACGAAAAAGTGTAAGAAGGGTATATTAGGCTTGTCAAGATTTTCATAACGCATTAAAGGAAACGTCGAAAATACCATAAAGTATATATCAGTATATGTATATATATACTTTTTCAGTTCAAACTACTCTGTCAGCTTTTAAACTCTTCGAATGAAACTTTACACACATACTTTTCGGGAGCGGACGCTGTTCACCATCTGATTTGATTGAAATTAGCCTACTAATTCTTATAGATGTATGTATTTTTATTTTTCCTAACAAATTTTTCCAATCCCGAAATCCAGAACACCATTGATTTGTTTGATTACAAAATAACCAGCACGTCTTACAATATAATGAATCCAATAACTTTGAATAGCATAACCAAAGTCGTGGCACAGTTACATAGTTTGTTTTTAAATTATAGTATAAAGATTTGAAACTTCTATTTTCTTGAATAGGATCTTTTGGAAAAGCCCTTGTAATCTCTCGAGGTCGGAAGAATTAGTCTGTTCAGTATTTCTTCTCTCGTAGTCGGAAGAATTAGTCTGTTCAGAACTCTGTTCCAGTATTTGAACAATGTGTCAATTTATTCTGTGTATCAAAATTAGCAAAGACATCATTTAAATCGTTTACTTCTTCACTTTTGTTTTCATTTATTTTTAGAAAATGTTCTAGATTTGGTAATTTCTTTCATGTTTCTTCTCGTTCGTTTTGCTCTTTTCTTTTCTTGGCTCCACTTAAATGTCAACACAAAGAAATGTTAAAATTTTTCTTAAAATTACAAATGCAACCCTGTTCAAAAACCAAAATTTAAGTTATTTCAACATAAAGCGTTTCGTCCCACTTTTGAGAATTTATTAAAAATAAATATAATGAATGCACAAATTGATAATGGGCCCCCTAAATTCAGGAGCCCGAAAGCGTTGCTTCCAGTCGCTTCCCTGTAGTTACGCCACTGCACGCAACGGACGTTTTCGCCTAACGAATAATCGGAAGTCATGCAAGGCTAATCAAATGAATACAATAGTTTCGATCCTTGCAGTCACAATTATTTTTCAAAATGGTTTGGATTAAAATATTAAATATTAAAATTTTAAGCGATGTGTCTAATAGTCAATCGATGATTTGTTAGCGCCAAATCTTTGATTTTAACATATTAATGGTGGTCGCTCTAGACCTTGATAATTGATTCTATCTTCAACTTTAATGCAAGTTTTTTTAATCAAAAAACTCAGGCATTGTATAAATCGCTAAATTAAATTGTTGACCCCAACATGGGTGCGTAACTATGCGTAACAAATGCGATATTGATATGCTATTTAACACAGATGTCAACGACAGTACTACCATCCTATAAAAGGAGTTAGCACAGTCAAGAGCCTAGCACAGAAGTCTTTAAGTTAAAAACTTTATCTTATTTCATAAACATAGAATTATATGATTTAAAAAGTGTATTAACGAATTATTTGTTTTATAAACTGCAGATACCACCAACATTAAACAATAAAAGTGAAATTTTAACGGAGGAATATGATGAAATAGGAGATGATGATGGCGATGATGATGAAGATGATGATGATGAAGATGATGACGATGACGATGACGATGGGAAAAGTGACCAAAACGATGGAGGTGACAGTTCTAAAGAAGAGGATTTTTGAAATCGAAACATAAATGAAATATAAAAAAAATATGTTCTTAAATCAGATATACTTATGCATTATTAATTTAAGAGAAGAAATAATTTTGTATTTATACTATTATACCCATATTAAATGTGTTTTTCTTTCTATAGTGCACCGAACGAAAATATTTTTTTTCTACCATAAAAGCAAAAATAAAAAAAAATCAGCAGCTGAATTAGGTACAGCCAACACATTGAATTCTTCAAGAGATCTTTATTGAATTAAATAAATAAGTAGATACGAGCGGAAAAAATTCAAAGTTTAAAGGAAACACAAATTCTGTCAAAAACCATGAATATTCCGGTCAAATTTATAAACATCAAAAAAGGTACGTTTTAAAACTTTCACTGTCCACTAACAGGCGGATTCTGTGATTGTAGCAATAGGTATCAATAGATGAGCTGAAACTCTGGATATATCCTAATCGTAAACAAATTCAATTCACAGATGATAACCTTACCACCAAAAACCGGCTCAGACAATGAATATTCTTCAGTTGCAGTTTCCATCGAAATTTTACATTGACAAGTATTTATTATTACCAAAATTCAAGTCCAGTGGTAATAAGTGTTCATAACTGTAGTTTCCAGAAACTGATTAAGTATTGAACGGTATAAACTGTATTTATTAATTGCAGTGCATTTTGTCTTCATCGAAAGGAAATCGGTATTTTCATTTCTTAGTTGTCTTTTTACTCTATAAATTTAGTACCTGTCTAATGTAAGTTACAATTTCTGGCAAACAATTTAGAAAACAGTAAAAATTACTTTAGGTTTCATGTTTCCGTAATTAGATTTCAAGATCGGCACTAATCCAAGATTTACGTCTATCTTTTATATATCCGGAAGAAGCTGTAAGATCTAGTATCATTATTGTTTGTTTTTTGTTGGCCTAAGTCCGTGTCGTATCAAGATTACTTTAACGACGAAATTGTTTGAACAAACTTTGACATTTAAGTCACCAATGAGGATTTTTATTTACCCTCTTTCGGTAGCAGATTGGCTAAAATTGTTCTCTCTAAGATGGGATTCTAAATTCCCCTCACGGATATATATTATTTATTACAATAATAATAATAAGTAAAAATAAATATATTATGTAAGTAATACATTTTAATTTTTAATGATTTTTCCAGCAAAATATGATAGACACCGAGTTGTTTGTCAATCCATATAACAAAGCAAAAACTAAACACCACTATTCCACATCTAGATACAAGTAGATACACTTTAATTTAATAACACTCATTCAACATTATATATAACATTGTTTTTCTCGTTTATGCGCTTTGCGGTTAAACAACACTGTTAAAATTTCTGACGCATGTTTTTGTTTATTAGCGAAATTTTTTATTCGTATGAGTCGCTCAACCTATTGATTGTGGATAACAATCAGTAAAAATGGCGTGCTAATGCTAATCTAATCTAATACAAATAGGTAATTTTGTGCAGAGCTATGAATCGCAGAAACTTTTAAAGTGATTCGATTGAGGAGTTTGAAGATATTCCGAACCATTGTATCGCTTCAAAAACTGGGTTGATTCAGAAAATAATGAGTCGACGTAGAAAAATTAACTTTCCGCCCTTTTTTGACAACTGCTAATGTGCATAAATACCAAGCGAAAGAAAATAAATATTTAAGCTTAAGTACGTTATATATATTTTCCAATATCCAATCACAATCTTTTATTTTAAAGTTGGTTATGTCTTGTCAGAGTTGAAGACAATATTGTTTTAACTCAAGCCATAATTTTTTCTCTCAGAATACCAAAAAACAACCTCGCAACGTACGAGGTTCTTAAAATCTTCAGAGTTAGGTTTAACTCGCAAAAATGTTTAGTTTTAAGTTTTAGTGCAGCCAAATTTAAAAATCAATCTATTGTGAACGTTCACTTAAATATGTTGTTAAAATATAAAACATAATTAGATATTTAACAACATGATGTTTATTAATATACTTCAAGATATCATTGCTACTATAGGGCATAGTACATTCTTCACTACCAAACATATTAATAGCATTTACACTAACAACAACCATTAATATAAGTAGATATAATAATATAATTAGATATATAACAAGATATAATTAGATATATAATTAATATAATTAGATAATATAATTAGATATTTAACAACATGATGTTTATTAATATACTTCAAGATATCATTGCTACTATAGGGCATAGTATAGTCTACTCTGCCGAACAAATTAATAGCATTTACACTAACAACAACTATTGTTGCTCTACTGCTGGTGCTTACTCACCTCTCGAATGCATATCTCATACATATCTCATATGAGAACAGCATAAAATTTCACCAAAAATTAAATTTATAATAACTTGAAAGAACCTATGCATTGCATGCACACAAGGTCAATCATATATCATACGGAAATCATACGGAAAATATGTACAAAAGCGAAGGCAATACATTAACTTCAGAAATATTGCCTAACCTACCCTTGCATACGAAATTATTAAGAAACCCAGCATACAATCGGAAGAGTTTTAGACGAGCGCTCCTCAAGGCGATGAAGTTATAAAACTGCCAAGCAACTGTTTTCGCCTCCAACAAAATGCATACTGTTTATGACTAATTGAATTGCGTCTTCATTCTCTTGAACGCAGTGCGTGGTGTTGTTGAGAAAAACCAGTAAAATTAAAGATTAAATTTACTTATTAAATTAATACTCTACAATTATACCAACTTCTACAATTATATATATTATATCAACAGGTAAATATTTTAATTATTAACAAATTGCAAAAAAAAATAATATTCATATCTATTCATGATATATGATAGTCATATTTGATAAGCTCGCAATTAATGACACATGGAGAGGAACAAAGGAGAAGAATAGTATACAAACGTTTACTTTAATAAAAATAATGAAAAGTAATTAATTTAATTATTTAAGTGTGTTGATAAATATGTTCTGACATATAACTTCTTATTCTGTATATATCTGTCTCTTTAAATTTCTAAGTGTGAATGATATTAAAATAAACTTGGTGCTTCAACAGCATTTTGTGCATGCAAAAGACCGATGCAAAAGAGCGGAAATTGAAATCTCAAGAGAGTGCTCCGTAATAATCAGTTAATTTTTATTTACTTTTCATATCTTTCTAAGTAATATATTAATAAAAGAAACAATAAAAATAAATTAGAAAAAATAAAATTTTTCAATGTATAAGTTTCAGTTTTTGGGGAGCGGATAGTTGCGCGTCTAAACGATTCGCGGACGATTGACAACTCTCTCTTATAAAAGTATCGCTAAAGCATCATCTGTGTTTGAAATAAATACGTTTCCGCGAGAAACAAAGCACGCAAAAACATTGCGGACGATGCTTCCTGATCCGCTCAATGATCTGAATCATCTTTGCTGAAACGATACGGATCACGTTTGAAAATAATTGGCAACGCATGAAATATGCCAGTTGGGTTTATGTACAAAATTTTTTGATTTGTGTGAATAATTTTGGCGCTAAAAAAATAAGTGAGAAAATTTTGAATACAAAAAATCTAAAACTTGGAAAATAAATAAAAACTGTTGAAATGTCTGAAGTACGAAATGTAAGTTTTTATTTAGTATTTACTTAAAAATTTAAATTTATAGTAAATATAGATTTATAGTAAATCAATGGAAATTGCAGATTTTATTAGAATTATCGAGCAAAACTGACTCCTCCATTTTCTTTTTAAACACTAGTCCAAGTGTATTAAGCTCAAGGGATGAAAAGCATTAGCATGGATATAGTGGAAATTTTATGGAAACGATCAATAATTTTTCCATTGAAGACTTCAGGAAAAACTTTAAACTTCAAAGATGTACTACTAATTATTTATACAAATAAAAATACAATTGCTATTTATTAATTATATTTTATAATTGAATAGATTTGTTTATAAATTCCAATCAGCAAATACAAAATAACCGTGGTGGTCACAATTGAACGAGAGCAATGAAGGAAATTTACATATTTTTGTGGTATACGGCAAATATAAATACTTTTCGCGAATTTGGTATTTGTTTTGGCATACCAAAAGCTTCTGTATGGAGAATAATTGAAAGAACTAGTGTTTAGCTTATATCAATTGCAAAATTTCCGTTCGTGATTGACAGCACACATGTTAAAATAAATGCACCTCACCATAGCAATTAGGCTTATTTCAAAAGGAAGCATGAATATAGCTTAAACTTGCAAGCAGCTTGCAAATAAATGTAGATTTGTTTATAGTTTTACTACACCGTTGCATCGCATTGCCAACCTCATTTGCATTAAAATACGTTCCACTTTTATCTTTTACATACATTCCACATTGAACCAGAAAGTGAACCAGATCAATTGCTGGTTCACCCCATTGTTTTTGTTTTGCATGTAAAATTGAGCGGATCATGTTTGCTGAAACGCAGCTATTATCATTAACGTGGTAAAGTCACATGTATGCAATAGGTGTGACAAAATGGGGTTTCCGTTCTTTAAAAGATATTCTTTGGTTTTCATTATCAGCACTCATCAATTTTGGTGATTTATACTTCAATCATGACTGTGAAATCTGTCAGCATAAATGCAACAGTGAAATTAAGTACTAAAATCTTATACTCAAACTTTATATCACTTTTGTTATTTTAGTTTTAAGCTCTCTTTAATAAAAGTCTAAGAACTGAACAGTCGTGTGCGGAACTTTGTATTTATTTCTAACAAGGGTTATGGGCCCGGACACTCACGTGTTTTTCAGTCAATTTTTTTTTCGATTGAAGAGCATATTTTCGTAAAAAATAAATTTAAAAAAAATAAATAAATAAAACGTCGTGTAGCGCGAGTCAGACCGAAAAATTAACTTCAGAAAACTATGCAACATGGTCTATCCAAATGCACAGTTTGGTAATCACACTAGACTATTGGAGTGCGATAGAACAAATTAAAGAAAAGGAAAGTGTGGAATCAAGTGTTACTGACCGGAAGGCATTGGCTACAATATTGTTGTGCTTGAAAATATCGGAGTTGGT